GTCGTCAAGCAGATTGATACGGTCGCAGCTGAGTTCCCCGCCGTGACCAATTACCTTTACTTGACATACAACGCCAAGGAGCATGACATCAGCTTCAACGACAAGGGTATCATGGTTCTCGGCTCAGGTGTGTACCGCATTGGATCATCAGTTGAGTTCGACTGGTGCTCAGTCCGCGCTATCCGCACTCTCAGAGAGCAGGGCTTCAAGACAGTCATGTTGAACTACAACCCGGAAACAGTTTCTACCGACTACGATGAAGCAGACAGGCTATACTTTGACAACATCAGCTTAGAGGTTGTCTTGGACATCTACCACCTTGAGAACTCCAGCGGTGTCATTGTCTCCATGGGAGGCCAAACCAGCAACAACATCGCCCTTCCTCTGCACCGCATGAACGTCAAGATCCTCGGTACTTCCCCCGAGATGATTGACAATGCCGAGAACAGGTACAAGTTCTCTCGTATGTTGGACCGCATCAATGTCGACCAGCCTGCATGGAAAGAGCTCACCAGCATTGACGAGGCGATGGAATTCTGCGACCGAGTTTCCTACCCTGTCCTGGTTCGTCCCTCGTACGTCCTGTCTGGAGCTGCCATGAACACTGTCTACTCGAAGCACGACCTGGCCAACTACCTCAATCAAGCTGCCGACGTTTCGAAGGAGCACCCAGTCGTCATCACCAAGTACATCGAGAACGCAAAGGAGATCGAAATGGATGCCGTCGCTCGCAACGGAACCATGATTGGTCATTTCATCTCTGAGCATGTTGAGAATGCTGGTGTTCACTCTGGTGATGCTACGTTGATTCTCCCTCCTCAAGACCTTGACCCAGAGACTATTCGCCAGATCGAAGATGCCACTGTAAGTTTTTTCAGCTATATACATCTACCACGCATTTACTAACCCATGATCAGCGCAAGATAGGAGCTGCACTAAACATAACTGGACCTTACAACATCCAGTTCATTGCCAAGGATAACGAGATCAAGGTTATCGAGTGCAATGTCCGCGCTTCCCGATCCTTCCCATTCGTCTCCAAGGTCATGGGTGTCGATTTGATCGAGATGGCTACCAAGGCCATGTCAGGCCTACCTGTGACTGAGTACCCACCCACTAACATCCCGGCCGAGTACGTTGGTGTCAAGGTTCCCCAGTTCTCGTTCTCCCGTCTTTCCGGTGCTGATCCTGTCCTTGGTGTGGAGATGGCTTCCACTGGTGAGGTTGCCTGCTTCGGTCGTACCAAGTACGAAGCCTATATCAAGGGTCTCATTGCCACTGGCTTCAGGCTGCCGAAGAAGAACATCTTGCTGTCTATTGGTTCATTCAAGGACAAGTTAGAGATGTTGCCTTCAATCGAGCGTCTGCACAAGATGGGCTACAACCTCTTCGCCACTGCTGGAACTGCTGACTACATTCAAGAGCACGGTATCCCCGTTAAGTTCTTGGAAGTATTGTCCACTGGTGAACACGACGAGCAAAAGCAAGAGTACTCGCTCACCCAGCACTTGTCAAACAACCTCATCGACTTGTACATCAACTTGCCATCCAGCAACCGTTTCCGTCGGCCTGCCAACTACATGAGCAGAGGATACCGTACCCGTCGTATGGCCGTTGACTACCAGACTCCTCTGGTGACCAACGTGAAGAACGCGAAGTTGTTGATTGAGGCTATCGCTCGCCACTACGACATGGAGATCAGCAAGGTAGATTTCCAGGAGTTTGCTGCAGCTCCCGGAGCCCACGATGCATCTTCAGGGCCTTTGTCTAAGCTTAACGGCTCGCTGTCGCTGCAGCAACTTCTTGCAAGGTCTCCGTTCAAGAGGGAACACATTACCTCTGTCAAGCAATTCACCCGTGCAGACCTTCATCTGCTGTTCACCATCGCGCAAGAGATGCGTCTCGGTACTCAGCGCCAGGGTTGTCTTGATATCCTCAAGGGTCGCGTCCTCTGCACTCTGTTCTGCGAACCATCAACTAGGACTTCCGCTTCCTTCGATGCGGCTATGAAACGTCTCGGTGGTGAGGTCGTCGTCATCAATGAATTGGTGTCGTCTACACAAAAGGGCGAATCCATTGCAGACACTATCCGCACTCTGGGCTGCTACGGTGATGCCATTGTCCTACGTCATCCGTCGGAGGAGTCGATCAACATTGCTACCAAGTTCTCCGATGTGCCTATCATCAACGCTGGTAACGGTAGCCGTGAGCACCCAACCCAGGCTCTTCTGGACATCTTCACCATCCGAGAAGAATTGGGCACAGTGAACGGTAAGAATTTCCTTGTACCAACCTCATGTGAGACATACACTAACTCTTTTTAGGCCTCAACATTACCTTCGTTGGTGACCTCAAGTATGGCCGAACGGTCCACTCCCTCTGCGAGCTCCTTTCTCACTACGATGTCACCATCAACCTTGTGTCGCCCTCGTCTCTACCCATGCCTACTGGTGTCACTGATGCACTGAAGGCCCGCGGTCAGCTGAACAAGGTCACCACTGAGCTGACCGACGACATCGTCGCTTCATCGGATGTCATGTACTGCACTCGTGTACAGAAGGAGCGCTTCCCAGATGTTGCCAGCTACGAGGCTGTCAAGGATGCGTTTGTCATTGACAACAAGCTACTGAAGGGAGCCAAGGCGAACATGATTGTCATGCATCCGCTCCCAAGGAACAACGAGATTAACGAGGAGGTGGACTTTGACCCAAGGGCAGCCTACTTCAGACAGGTAAGTCTAACCCTGATCCATAAGGACATCCCAGCTAACAGCATCGCAGATGAGATACGGCCTGTACACCCGTATGGCGCTTCTCGCTATGGTCATGGCTCCCTAATCAGATCATCCAGCGCACGACTTCATGGCAGGCGTTTGACGGTTTTCACGAAAACGAAGAAAGCAACAAAAAGTTTTCCTTCCGCATACTTTCCTTTCGAGTTTATACCATGACATAGACGAGCATCATCAGCAAAGATTGTAGATAGATACTCAAAAGCATTTCCACGGAGTTTTGGCCACGGGTTAACGGTATATATATGATGTATAATTATCAACATCAGGATGGGGGGAAGCTATTTCACTTTTTCTGCAGCACGTTTCGGTGTTATTCTTGTATATTTTCAAAGAGGGGGAAAGTCATTTCATTTTTATTTCGTTTTCTTTTGGCGTTTGGGTGGGTCCTCTGATCGAGGTTGGGAATATGGATCGGAGTTGAGAGGAAGATCGGTACATCAATCGGACTGGGTAATTATCGGCGGTATTATGGATAGGGATCTGCATGGTTTGGAGTCGGTGGAACGGTGGGATCAAACACAACGGAATTGGAAACAAAGGTAGTCATTACTACTGCCGGGAAGAGGGAAGACGCCGGACGCCTCGCCCTTGGTGTATACAATGGAAACAGATTCCCCACGTTGCGCGAAGTCGTCGGACTTTGCGTAAGAACATCAATCTCTCTGAGCACGTCGTGTACGCTTCGTGAAGTCCTTGTCGCTTTTCGGAAAGCAATGGTATTGTGCCAGTAGTGGCAGGAGTTTAGTGGCCGAGGCATCGCCCCCAACCTGATGTTCGTTAGCTTGTGATTCGAGAGATAGTGAGTTACGAAAGTGCTCGTTCTCAGGGTGTCGCCGTCTACACCAGGCAGGCGGATACAAACTAACGAGATTCTGCCATGTTCAGTGAACTTACCAGGAAGACCACAGCCGAAGCCGACAAATAGGTAGATCAAAAAGATGACAACCAGCGTTAGCAGTACCATCAATTTGACGTTCTTCCACCACATCCTCCTCTTTAGCGTCCGTGACCTGACCCTGAAGTCCCTCGCATTCTCACCCAGTCTGCCAGTCTTATCAACCAGGACACTCATATGCTCGCCCCTTTCCAGCACACGTTCAATGTTCTCTGTCATGATTTCCCTTACGCCCTCGATCTCGCGCTGCGCCGTCCTGAGCGCATCCTGTTGTCCAGCCTGAGTACCACCCTGCTCTACCATCATCCTCTTCAACGCGCCGTTGAAACTCGCACACCCATACGGCGGCAAGTCATGGAAGTTTGTGCTTCCAGGCTCGAATTCAGCAAAGAACTTCTTCTCGAGGTTCGTCAGGAAGCCAAAGGGTATGCGCTGGCCGAGGTCGCGTTCAGCGATAACGAGGAAGGTGAGGCCGCCGGCCGTGGACTGGTTGTTGGGGAAGTCTGAAGGCGACTTGACGAGGCAATGAATGAAGAACTTGGATTGATCGATGGTTTTGTGGGCGGATTTGTCGTGGGCGATGCGTGGGAGGACGAGAGAGACGAGAGAGGAGGCATTAGAGGAGGCCGAGGCGGTGTGTTCGGTCAAGACGGTTGTGTTGTGAGCTATGCATGCGCTGTGATTTTATCAGTTAATGGTGTTTCCAATTTGTATCATGTATTAGAGAGGCCATACTAGAGCAGCGGCGTGGAAGAAGACGAAGACGCCATGTTCAAGGTTGGCGGAGGAAGACCAAGGGCTCTGCGCGTAGCCGGGGGCGCTTTCGGTTGTTTGCGTGATTTGGGATTCGAAGGAGATTTCGAGTAGGATATGAGCCCTCGAGAGACTAGAGCGTGGTGGTGATGATGATGATGATGATGTGGGTCTGTTGTAGTGGTAGCCGTTGATGGTGTTGGTGCTGCTGCGGAAGGAGTGCCACTAAAGCTGGGGATGCTGCCTCTAGCCATGTGCGTCATAGCCAAGACGGTTCACGCCTCATGCGCTAATGCATGGATTGCGCTTGCGATTGATTGATGGGGCTTGCTTGCGATTTTAGTCAACTTCGCGTCTTCCATGCGCGTAAACGGGAGTTGTCGCAGGTATCAATTTCGAAGACTTCCAGTTGCGGTGGTTACGATCGCGTAGCAGCGAGGGTCTGCCTGTCATTTTAATTTCCGTGTTTCGTTTGCCTTTCACTTGGACACCCCACACTCTCCCAGCTCGCGCATACTCCACCGCTACGCAGAGACACACAACACAGTTTGAGCCAGCATGGTGCGCGTAAAGAACCGCTACCTGGTAGTCAACTTCCTATACCCGGAGCCTCCCGCGAAGAGCAAGACGCAACTTTCGGACGCCATTCAAATTCACTCGCCGACGCCCGATGCCCTTAAGCAGGGTCTTATCATACGTATGATACGGGACGGTGTTGAAGAGCTGTTTGGCGACTATGGCTCGGGTATGGTGTCTTCGGGACTGAAAGGTATGTTGCAAAGGCCTCGGGGGATTTTGATGGCCGTACTAATGACGTGCACAGTCAATTATTGCTCTCCCTCAACCAGCACCGCCATAATACGATGTCCACGAGACCACTACCAAATGGTCTGGGCAGCCCTCACATACATCACTCACCTTCCCAAACCTCTCGATATACCTGTCGTGATAAGAGTCGTGCGGGTTAGTGGTACCATCAAAAAGGCGGAACAGGAGGTTATCCGACGGTCACAGCACATTATCAAGAGAGCAAGAGCCTGGGATGGCGCCGGAGAGCTGCCCATGCTACAGAAAGTGGAGAAGGCAGTTGATAAAGAGAGGAAAGTGGAGGACGAGGTGCTTGCTAGGATTGACGACGACAACGAGAGTGAGGACATGAGCGAGTAGGCAGACTTGGGACTCTGCGTTTTTTTCATCTGCTAAGCCTGGCTTGTCGGATACTGGATACGGGCCCTAGCCATCACTGCGTGCTGCTTGACCGATACCATATCCTTGCTCCTGGCACTCCTATCTGTACTGCTCGGCAGTACTTAGGTGTGCCTCTGAAGCCAAACACAACCAGAGGGTTGTCTTAAGGGATAGAAACAGCGGCTCTGGCCCATGCTCGTGACAACGCACTACACGAGCTGAAGAAGATCTAACAAATTGCTGCTTGCGCAGCTGATGTTGATCCATATCAAGGTCTTCGGTCTGCCATGAAATGTCGGGCAAGGGGGGATATGTGGAAACCCATAGTCGTTTTCGCGACAACGTTGCACATATTGGGTCGTAAATGCGATCAAAGCGGTGGTTGTGCCACGCATGGAGAAGCTCGACTCCCTGGTTGGTATAATTAGTGAGGAGAATAATGCACTACACGACATTGTACAAGCAATTGAGGCGAATGGCAACGCCTCAATTGATGGATTATATACATTCTTCAGATATAAATACTATTCGTACAAAAGCTAGATACTTCAATTCGGCCTCAGCATAGCAATGATGCTCGCTGTGATGACAGCCCCAGCCGCAGCGCCTTGGAGGATGGCGCTGGTATAGTCGATCCGCCGCATTGAAATGACGCGATCGCTAACAATGTCATGTGCTATGAAGCTAGCCTTTTGCTGCCAGCTTTCTAGTTTGGAGGGGGGAGTGGTGTGAGATGACGAGATTTCTTCAGCAATGGTAACGCGTTCCTCTGGTGTCAGGGTCTCTTCTTCAGGAGTAAGAGCCTCAGCTTCAACAGTTACAGCGGATTCCTGGACGACTTCGGGAACGAGTTCAGGTTCGACCGACGATACGATGTTTGTTCCCGCTGTTGGGGACTCCTCAACGACCTCGTCGGCAACCACGAGCGGTGCCTTGGCAGGTGCGTCTGTACGATCAACAACCCTGTCGATGTCTTCCTCAATTGCTGTTAGACCTTGCGTGGCTGACACGGGCACAAGTGCAGTAGCAGCAGCCGATGACGCTGCAGCATCCATAGCAATCTGATGCTGCGCCTCCAAAGCCTTCTTGATTTCCCTGACCATCCTCCTCCTTCGCCACGGCTCCAAGATTGCCAAACTCAATAGCAACAGGAAGATATTAACACCCATGAGGCCAAACGTGACCCAAGTACTGTTCCTTCGGATGGTGTCGCTCCAGATCTGCTCTTCGTGGTATTGCGCACGTTCCCTCTTTTCCAGTTGTGCTCGCGCGTCTTCCAAAGCATTTTCGGCGTTTGCGACGGCGTCCTTGGCTTCCCGAACGGCTTGATCATTGATGTGTTCGGAGCGAATGAGGGCCATGTAACGTTCAAGGTCGCCATTTGACCATGAATGTTTACGCTCCAGGAGAGCGACGACTTCTTTTTGCGAGGTAGCTTGGTGGGCGAGGGCGGTGTCGAGGGCTTGTTTAGCGGAGTCGATGGCTAGACGGCGGGCCTTGACAAGTTTCTCTGCACGGTGTTAGCTGCTGCGTCGGAGCGGTACAAGGTGATTGCATATACCCTGCTCTTTGATCTCCCTCCTGAGTGCCTCGACGCCAGAGTAGTCGGTTCCAGTGTATGTATTGACCTTTTGTGTGACGACGGCAAGCTTCGGTAGCAGCTCATCCATGGCATTGGAGAAGCGTTTTGAGAGGCTCCATCGCTGCTTCTCTTGATGCGAAGGCAGGTGTTCGTCCGGTACGCGAGCAATATTATCCAAGGGCTCATCCTTTGTGGGTGGTTCCGATTCTTTTGGAGGAGGCTGTTCAATCTTGGGAGCGGGCGGTTCTTGCAATGCGGCCACCGAAGTTTCTGCGGCTCGTTTGATAGCCATTTGATCCTCGAGTATAGCATTGAGTCTCCTCTCTAACCGCTCCTGATCCTCTGGTGATGGCGGGGCTCCTGATAGCTTGGTCGGAGGTTGCTGTATAGGATTGGAGTCGTTTGCGGGCGGCGGCATTGCGATGGGATCCGATGGCTTTGGTGGTCTTCCTTGTTCCCTCCATCTTGTTGAGCTTGTGAAAGTACGTTGCGACCATTGTGCAGATGGGTTGGCGCTCAACGGCGTCTTTGCATGCCACCTCAACGCACCAGGAGCTGTGCGATGGCGACACCTCGACAAGACGGACGATGCGCTGCGAGCAACATTGCTCAGAGATGGTGACGAAGGCGCTACCGTATTGGCGACAACCGAACGTGAAGCATGCTGAAGCAGTGGCCTCATTCTTGTCTCTACCCTCACATGAAGAGCGCCTGAGCTGTATGACGAATGACGAAAAAGGGCCAAAATGCGGACCCCCGAAGCGGGCGGCGTCGCATCGAGCGCAGGCGACGTGCCAAGGCGCGTGGGGTTGCGGCATGACGATGACTGGCCCTTTAGCCAGCGTCCCTTACTTGCACGTCTGCCGGCATTCCGATTCAGGGCTTCCCTAGTGCCCCTCCATCTAATCTTTGAGAAGTTGTTGATATCGCCGAGCGCCCTTTACTTCTACTTCCACAGTCAAGACGTAGAACCAGCAACACAGTCGCTCGTTTCCGTCACATACACCATGGGTTCCACACAGATTGATTTGGCAGAACTGCCTGCCATGAAGAGCAACCCAAAGGTACAACTTCTCAATCGTCTTGGCTACCTCTTATACTGACAACGCCTAGTTCATCTTCTTCACCGACTTTGACGGCACAATCACCCTCCAAGACTCCAATGACTTCATGACCGACAACATTGGCTACGGCCGCGACAAGCGCCGCGCCGGAAACATCGCCTGCCTCAACAACGAAATCACTTTCCGCGACTCCTTCCAAGATATGATGGACAGTGTCACAAAGCCCTACGACCAATGCATCCAATACCTCGTCGACAACATCAAGTTGGACCCCGGATTCAAGGCCTTCTTCGAGTGGTCGCTGGAGAACAACATCCCAGTTGTGGTACTGAGTTCGGGAATGGAGCCCGTAATCAAGGCCTTGTTGGAGAAGTTGGTCGGCCCAGATGCAAGCAAGATGCAGGTCTTGGGCAACCACGTCGGCCCCAGGGAAGGAAAGAACATCAACGAAGAGGGTGGATGGACAATCCTCTTCAAGCACCCCGAGTCTGGTTTTGGTCACGACAAGTCCATCGAGCTGCGAAAGTACTCCAGTCTGCCCGGGGACCTCCGACCAACAATGTTCTACGCCGGCGACGGTGTATCAGATCTCTCTGCAGCACGCGAAACAGACTTGCTCTTCGCCAAGAAGGGTCACGACCTGATCAGCTACTGCGCGCGCGAGGACGTGCCATTCACAGTCTTCGAGGACTGGTCCAATATCCTGACCAAGTGCAAGAGCATTGTAGAGGGCAAGACCACTGTCCAGGCTGCTGCCAAGGAAGGCTACGAGGCGTACAAGAGTGGCGCTGCTGGAATTGAAGTTCAGACCAAGAAATAAATGGGATTGCCGAAATTTGGTCTCGGGAAGACCATTCCTGGTTCCTGGTCCTGGGAGTTGGGACCGCCTATGTTGCGGCGCAGTAGATACCAAATCCTTTTGATGATGTGCGCACGGCAGTGGCTGCGGCGTAGACAGACTATGTGGGGGAGAGAATTATCCCAAGGCATCACCATAGACTGAAACGTTCGACGGCATAGAAAGGCTATAGATACGATTTATACGATAGACTAGAATTTGATGAAATTTTTATACTCAAGAGAATGCGCCACATATGAGACGACCGTTACTATGTACTCCTACAAACATCGCGCAATGAAGAAGGGCTGTTGCCAAGGGTATCTCTCGCAATGCAATACAGCAACAACTGGACCGATCGAATATGTACAACTTGCCAGCATCGTAATTCAGGCTACCTCGAGATGTTTACCTCGGTTGTCCTTACGATCGTCATACCCCTGGGGAGCACACTCCTCCTGTTACCCCTGCCAACCTCATGATCCAAGATACTTTCATCGCTCTCCCCAGCTTGACTCCTCGGTCTGCTCATTCCCCTTCCCCGTCCCGCCTCGGCATGATATGTATCCTTACCCAGCACAGCGTCCTCAGTATACGGGTCCCGGCCGGTCGACGAGGAATTTTCACTCATGTTTTTCATAGCGAATGAGTTACCGGGGCGCATGTCATCTTGCTTCATGTATCCATTGGAACGGAAAGGCGTGCTGTTGAGGCCGTTGGACCCAGTGGTGCGGCCTTTTGTAGCGAGGGAACGCATTTGGCCGAAGAAGTTCGCGAAAAGGGGTTTCATGGTAGGTAGACAGGCGGCGATGATGCCCACGTGCATTTCGACTCTATTTGAAGTATTAGTCGAAGCTTACAGTTGAATTGGAAAGTATGAGCACGTACTGCTGCCAGATATAATACCATGCTCCGTCACCGGACCAATCCGTAATTTTGAAGAAGTTGTACTGCATCGGTGTTTTGTAGATGGCTATTGCAGAGGCGAAAAGTCCCAGACTCAGGATGACTGCCAACCCAATGCGCGTTTGGATTGTAACCTGCAACCGCCACACCATTGGTATGGGAATCAGAGCGAAAAGCAGATCGGTGGCGATGTTGATGGACGAGTTGAAGACACCAACGTTCTTAAAGATATTAGCGTCGTAGCATTTTGCAGTTCTGCAATCGTGTTAGTATATATCGTGGACGATATAGGGCGTAGATGGAATGCGTACCCGGTCGGTGGGCGTAGGGTGTAGTCCCACCCTGCTTGCACCGGAATACATTGGAAAATGATAGCAAAGGTCGAACCAATGGTAAAAACACCAATAAAGACTATTTGTTTGTCAGTTGCTTGACCTTCGAAGTTCAGGCATGTTAACTTACCCAGCATGCCGATAAGGAATGGCCGCCATTTGGTTCGGTCCGCAAGTCGCAACAAGAAGAATCCGATGGAGAGCTTGATGAAGCTGTAGGCAGCGATGATGAATATCGAGTAGAAGTACATGACTTTGAAAAATGGGAATATGTTCTCCAGTGGGAAGGCTTCGGCGTGTTTTCCGAGACCCAGACCGATGACCTTTAAGAATAGTCCCAAGGTGGTGGAACTAAGAGCCTGCAAGGTTATAATCAGCAACCGACCCTTCCTCAGTGACTTCGCACCAGAACGCATGCGTAGTAAGAGTATGGAAACCTACCAAAGCAATCGCCATCATAGCGTCTGTTACAGTCAGTCATGTCTGCCACAACTTCGGATCGGTGGATCATACGTACCATCCCAACCAAAGGTCTTCAGCATGAAGATCCGGACGTAGAATCGCATCAGTATAGCGGCTGTCGACAACGCGAACAAGGAACCTTCCACTGCCAGCAGGCGTCCAGCCTGGTTCTCAGCCATGTATTCTGGTGACCGAGCTGGCATCATCGGCGGCCCCCCTTCCTGTCTCGAAACAATGGCATGGTACTCCATGTCAACGGTTGCGCAATCGACGAGAAAGCGATGAGTAGATCTTGTTGCTTGGACGTAGGTGTCCAGGCTATTAGAGCATTGTTCAGGAACACTTTCTGCAGGCTGTTTCCAAAGTAGCACTTAGGCACATGCAGATTGTAAAGATCCTGAACTGCGAGCAAGCGAACACATGTCTCGAGTAATACTGGCTTTGACCAATAATTGCACTTCCGTATATGCATGGTACGCAACTTTAATGTAGACACGACGGCTCGGCAGGGTCGTGCAGCTTAGGAATAACCGGAGTGGCGGTTTCAGTGCCGAGCCGTTCTCGAGGTCATCAGTGGCTCTGCAGTCGCAAAGTCTAATCCTTCATCTTCTGACGTGCCGCTCAACTGCTACGTCTTGAGCATCAAGACAGATACTTTCATTGCTTTCTTCATGCGCAAGAGGGAATGCATGCAAGACACGACTGCGCAGCAACAGAACGTATCGACGATACAACCTCCTCCATCGACACTGCGGATTCCGAACGGTCCGGACCGTCCACTCAGTGATCCAGGGCTAAAACCACGATCATAAACAAGGAACATACAGACTGCAGACGATCAATTCCGCTCTTGGGAGACGGAGTTCCAACAACAACTTCCCGTAGAAGTTACTCTGCGCGATTCGCAGTCTGAGTAGGAGTAGGTGCTTACACATGGAAGCAACGCTTTCTGGACGCAAAGTGCTGTTTTACTGAAGGATTATTGGATTACCGTAGCGACTTTCCCTTTACGTAGAGCTGTCATGCGTTCCCGTCAATGGCTCATAGTCGAGACGAGTGTAGTCTTGTGCACGGAGATGGAGACAAGCTGCGCGTTGTCTAAACGAACATACCCTGGTCATGGGCCAGTCTCAGACCTCTTCCTTCCATAGTGGGGATTCTGGTTCTGTGCCAATCACCATCACGACTGTCCTCCATCTGTTAGTCACGAGAACAGTACTGCTCAGCTGCGTCGCACAGCGCTGCGCAAATGTTCTCGTGAGATATGCGTGTTGCTCCCGTGTCGCGTATCAAAGTAAAAGCCATCGGAAAGCTACCAGTGCAGTGACAGTCGGAGGATTAGGTAGGTAATTTGTTAGGCGAAATGCGGACCTGCCGCAGACGAAGTAGGTGGTCGCATGTTAGATGAGTAAACGGGACGGTGGTCGAGTATTGGCAGGCGCTAGTTGTTCGCGCTAATCGTTCAGGCGCGACCAAGCCGCTCCCGCGGGGACTTCAATTATCCGGTCTTTGGCAGTTGTCCCGAGATAGCGTGACCAGGCGGGCCGCCTACCTTATTCCCCCCTCCCGTTCGTAGTCCAGGACTCCAGAGCTTCTCTCCGTGGACAGGGTCTCCGATCAAAACTTTTATTAGCCTCCTTAATGCATATTGCCTAAGCATGAATGCCTGTCAAAGCACCTGGTACCAGGTACCAATTGGTCGATCCATCATGTTCATCGGACTACAAGCAGAATATAGCAGGTACCGATGTATTTCCAGAAGCCTGACGCCCTTCCCCTCAATCCCGCACCCGGACATCATGCGACGCGGCCGGGTAAACTAAAGTGGCGCCTGGTCAAGCCGAAGCTTTCACCAGGATTATGCTTCGATTTGTCCATTCACTCCCCTGACCGAACAGCCTGGTCAGATCGATATGTAAATCTGCTTCAGGGTAGAACCCGAGCACATCGATCACGACCAGCTAGCACTTGTGCTGGGACGTGTTCAGGCGCCGGTATGTCTTCCTCGGTGAAGCCATTTCAAAAAAAGTGTAGTAGCCCACACGGCTTAGCATCCACTTCTTGCAGCCACTTATACCAGTCCCTGACAATCCCATTCTACCCACTACCCTGCCCACTTTTGGTGAATTCGCAGCCGAGAGCTCCGATAGCCAGGCATCCAATGGTGTCCGCCCGCTAACGCGTCTTACACTCGTTTACAGGCGTTAAATCCGCCCCAAATCCTTCCTTCCACTCACCTATAGGGGCGAGACTCATGCGAACCCACGTGTAGCGGAGTTTTGAAAACGCCTTGTCAAATCCCACAAGGCGACCTCGGCATTCGCCAGCCGCCAGCCGCCTATTCGGTGGTAGAGCATGCACCAAGGAGCTTTTCGAACCCCTTCGAACGCCTCAAGGTTATTGGCGAATAAAACATCAGTATGCCATAAGCTCAAGGGCCACACCGACTGACTCAATGCCTATCATTACCTGCCCGGAAACAACAAACCGAGCTAATGGGTCTGAAAACAGTACGATGTTGTACAGCACAGGTATTCTATGCCGATATTAGACTAGATGGAGGCGAGTGTTGGATTGCTTCCTGCGAGTATTTGAAGGCACATGCAGCCTCAAAACTTTGGACAGGGCATCGCCACGTTTTGCTCACGCCTCTTTCATCTCCTAATATTAATACAGTAATCGCTAGCTTGTGTTGGCCTTTCATCCGGAACCTTATTCAACGTCCTCGACCGTTTCAGTCTTTTGCTCGTCTTCATCCTTCACAAGCCTCTCTAGACCTTCGATCACCCATCTTTAACCGGTTCGAAACGCCATCATGCGTACTGCTGCATTCCTTTGGCTCGCTCCTGCAGCACTAGCCAGCGCCATCCCTTCCTTCGAAGAGGCTTCTCCCGCCATCTCATTCGACAAGAGGCAGAATGTGTCTCCCAACGTCCTCGGGGGCAAGATCCTGCAGGCTGATTTGTACGCTGGTGTTGCTGCCATCAACCAGCAGATCTATCAGGCTACCCAGAAGCCTGACCAGTTCAAGAAGTGCAATCCCCTGAACCTAATTGTTCGCAAGGAATGGTAAGGCGCCAGCAACCGAGATGTGGATTGTACGCTAATAGACTTAGGGCAACCTTTACTACACCGGAGAAGAACGACTATGTCAAAGCCGTCCAGTGCATCTCCAAGCTGCCTCCTAAGACACCCAAGTCTGAGTGCCCGGGCTGCAAGAACAGATACGGTAAGTTATGACTTTACGAAATGCATGTGAGACATACTCTGACTTCGCATCTCCACATCTGTAGACGACTTTGTGGCAACACATATCAAGCAAACATTTGCCATCCACAACACTGGCAACTTCCTCCCATGGCATCGTTACTTCACCTACGCTTACGAGCAAACCCTCCGTAACGAGTGCGGTTACAAGGGCTATCAGCCATACTACAACTGGCCCCGATGGGCTGACAACCCGATGAAGAGCCCTACTTTGGATGGCTCTGCCACCTCTATGGGCGGTAACGGTGACGCTGGATGCAGCAACCAGACCTTCTACGGTATCCCCACCAATGATGCTCCTCTGATCAAGATCCCCAAGGGAACTGGTGGAGGTTGTGTAACGTCTGGCCCATTCAAGGATTGGTCTGTCAACCTTGGTCCTGTCTTCACCGACTCTCTCTGCACGCCTCCCAACCCGATCGTCGACTTTACAGACCCCAACATGGGACTTGGGTACAACCCTCGCTGTCTGAAGCGTGACATCTCTGCCTGGACTTCCAGGCAGTGGACCAACGATGAGATGGTTGTGAAGCTGCTCAACAGCCCTGACATGAAGACCTTCTGGTACGACATGCAAGGTGGTGACCCAGCTTTCACCGAATTCATGGGTGTGCATACGTAAGTTGTATTCAAGGAAGACGTATTCAAGACATGCTAATATTCTACTAGGGCTGGTCACTTCACTGTTGGTGCTGACCCTGGTTCTGACTTCTTCACTTCGCCTGGTATGTTCTCTTACGTCAGCTTCACAAAGACGTTCGGCTAACAACGAAACAGGTGACCCATACTTCTACTTCCACCACGCCCAAATCGACCGCGTGTGGTGGTCGTGGCAGAACTTGAACCCTGCCAACAGGACCAATGCCATCTACGGAACGATTGCCCTGGGTGACCCTACCGCCCCTGCCACCAAGCTCACCGACACCATGACTCTCGGACATGCCTACCCTGGCAACATCACTGTTGGTGATGCGATGAGCACTATGGGAGGACCTTTCTGCTACACGTACATCTAGAGACGGACCCTCGACTTTACTTCGACCTTCTTGTATATACTTGACCTGTACATATTCATCCGGATTGGTGGACTGTAGTCGATTTGCTGTTGAGCTCAAAAATAGACCAAGCACGCGTACCCTGTGCGATGGAAGTAGACTAGCAACCCAGAACATCCATGGCCATTTTTCTGAGTGAGCGCGTGATGACTGCAAGCCTTGCCTGGATCGCCTGAGCATGATGAATCAGAAAAACCCAAGCATAGCGAATGTCGATATCAGAGTAGAAAGTGGAAACTAGCACGATCTAACGCATGTTCCGCAGCGCTAAGCGGTCACCATACCTGGGCTGCATATGTCCCGCAACGAATATGAATGGGCGGGGTCTCTCCATCCAAAAGCGCGGAGACCCTGCAGTGCCAACGCATCACCGCTGAAGAAGAATCGAGGGCAGTCATGTCCTCCAATCCCTCCGACCACGCCGGTTTCAAACGCTGTTTGAGATCACAGCCACCCTGAATCGGAGCGCCCCTCGAACATTATTGGCATCTTAGAGTCAGCATTGGAGGATTCGCGATTCGAGTGAACCCTTACCCCGCTAAGATTCTAGCTCCCCCGACTTTCTGGATCCAGGGGACGACGAATGTTGCAACAACCATCGCAAGACATCCCCAACATAGCAGAGAGCATTGCCAAACAGTAGAAAACTTGCGCAGAGCACAATAATCCCTCCATCATGAACGTCGACCCTCTGACTGGCAAACCGCTCCCTTCGACCGCCATCCAACGCATCCTCTACCTCGCGCCCAAAGTCCACATTTACCAGATCCCACCTGCGACGTCTACAAAAGGCTACCAGGCCTCGACCTGGACAGCCGACAACAACAAGCTCCAAATCTTCACGGCTCGACTACGCGTCGTCGAGACGTCAATACCGTCGAATGAGGAGCAACAAAGCAACGACGATGCAGAGGAGAAGGTCACAACAACACTCCTATTGGAAGACCCAAAAACGGGGGACCTGTTCGCCGCAGCGCCATACACAAGTGAGAGGACGGTAGAGCAAGCATTGGACAGTAGCCGCTTCTTCGCCATCACCGTCGTGGGCGAGGGCAGGAAGGCGATCCTGGGTATGGGCTTCGAGGAACGCAGCGAAGCCTTTGATTTTAGCATTGCGCTGCAAGACGCCCGTCGCGTACTTGGCTTTGAACAAAACCCCGCTGCGACATCATCATCCCGCTCCTCCAAATCCGCACAAACGCCCGTCGCCGAAGAACCAAAACGCGATTTCAGTCTCAAGGCCGGCGAAACGATATCGATAAATCTGGGAGGCTTGAAGGGACGCAGGTCAAGATCACATGAGGGAGGCGAGAAGAGTGAGGAAGGTGATCGCAAGAGCGAACAAGATGCGCTGTTCAGTATAAAGCCGCCACCGGGAAGTGGGGGTGGGGGTCCCGGATTCCTGCCACCGCCACCAAGTGCGAAGAGTGTCAAGGAGGAAAGGAGGAGAAGTCGGCAGAACTTTGATGCTGCCAGCTTTCAACCGCCCAAACAGACGGCGGAGGATTTGGGCTTCGACGATGGCGAGTTTGGCGAGTTCCAATGAGAGGGGGCTACAAATAAGTGGGAGGTATTTTGTGCATGTTTAGCATTGGAGTTATTGTTTGCACTGGTTTAGGTCCTCCGCGCATGGGAGGCGTTTTGAAATCAAGACATAGCAAGTTTCAAGGAGACGCGAGTTTTGCTGAGTGTATAGGTGCGTGTCGTCGAGTGAAAGCGAGGTGTGTTGGGTATATCAATCTACAAACGCCGATCCTATGTGCCCGGAAAGAATATTTCAATCGCCGCTCATGAATATGTCCAACCCTGCGCCTCATCGTACAGTCTTTCAATGTCGCGAATCAGATCCTCTGGCTTTTCTCCACCCTCGCAGTCCTTGAACCTGCCTCCATCGGTAACACAGCGCACTTTGTCGTCCAATCTCACGGTACAGCTGGTGGTCACGCCTACATCGCTACTATGCTGCACGCTATCTCGCAAGAGACCCATGCCATATGCGCCGTTCTCCTTGCTCATGCAATCGTTCAGCACGCCAAAGTCCAGGCCATGCTCCAGTGCGCAGTCTTCGATGAGGGAGCGGGCGGGTATCTCGGAATAATCGTTTGTAAGGCAGTTGGTGAAGCCAAGGTAGAGTTTAGGATCGGGGTACTCGGATGCGGCGCACAGCATGACAATGTCGCCTAGACATTCTGTTTGGCCGTGTTTGCATTCAACGCCGTCGTCTGCTGTCAGGCTGCATGTGTGTCAGCTACGTCGGCTGCTTGCGCGGGGACGATGCAACGTACCTTCCTATCATGCTCAAGCGGAAGTCTACCTTGTCCGACACGTTGGCCATGGCGGGCAAGACGAGCTTCTTCAGGCAGTCGCGCGCATCCGGACACTTTGACATGATGTGTACATCGACCGGTACCTTGGTGTCGGCCTCGTCGTGCATGTCTGTACATGTGAAGGTGCGTGCCAGCCAGAACAGACTGAAGAGCAACACAAACGCCGCCATCTGGAGTCGCGTCCTCCTTGTCTTGCGGGATGGCATTGTCTCGTCGGGTGGCGGCGCCTTAATGTGCTCGTGCGTGTCCGGGAGGAGGGGCGCCTTCTCTTCCATTGCGTGGGACGGTGTCGGGGCCGACGCGAGGTTTTTATCTATGGCTTCGTATAGGCGTAATGGGCGGGTGGTCTGGACGCTGCGGTGCTGAGCTAGAAGTGTTGGGCTGGTCTGCTAGATGCGATGGGCTTGTGTGATGTGATGGACATGGTCAAATGGGGAAAGATGGTCTGATAGGCGTTCGGGCTTATTGCTGATAGCGTGGCTGACTAGGGCTTTGAGCGGCAGATCTAGGTACCAGCAAAAGCAAAACAATCTAAACTCTGTATTTAGTGAGCGTTGCACACGTCGAGAAGCCACATTCCCGTATGACGTGATGCCCTATTCACACTCCTCGCAACGCGTGCACTTCCCAAACACGTGAAAAGAGCCGAGGAGGACAGCACGGCGGAACAATTGGCCGTCGTGCCCGTCGTGCTGTAGCCGTGTGGCGTTCTACACGCATGTAACACCGAGCTTCGGAGGGGCTACACGAATCCTACCTCACGAACCATTCATCTGCTGCGCGCGTAAAGCCTGCCAATCCCACGCCTCTCTTTTCCTTTTCGCTTCTTTGCTCATGATGAGATGACTTTTTGCCTTGTTGACATTCTTCTTATCCTGCTCAGACATTGAATTGTTCTGCAATCCGCGAGGCTGATCCCCCCCTTTCCATCTGGCCGCCTTCCACTTCCAGATTCGATAACACATGCGGCAGCCCTGCATCACTTCCCCTAGATCCGTTCCTGAAGCCCGGCACCAACCCGAAACATGGCGTCGGATGATCAACAAGACGCTGCATCGGCTGCGATTCAAGCATTGACCGGCTTTATCAATACGAGCACTTTGCTTCCTCTAGCCCAGCAATTTTCGGCAACTTACAGTCATCTGGCCAAGTCTTCCACCGAGCACTTTCTAGTCACTCCCGTCACGGCACTACCCACGGGGAAAGAGAAGGGTAAATTCTTGAGCATCGATGTTGGTGGCACGAATCTAAGAGTCGGATTTGTTGAGCTAATCGGAGAGCCAGATGGCGCCGCAGAGGATGAGCGGACACGGAGTAGCACGGTTGGCGAAAACGTGTTTGCTCGCATCAAGAGGAGCCACGACAGAGACTGGCCCATTGGAGATCACCTGAAGATGGACCAAGCTGAAGACTTGTTTGCCTGGATTGGTGACTGTATCGCCGAGGTTGTCAAGAGTGCTCTTGAAGAGCAAGAGACCATGAAAGATATTACATCTCCTCTGGGCGATGAGATTCTGCTTGGCATCACCTTCAGCTTCCCGATGGCGTAAGTCTAAATCCACCCGTAGATTGTAACACCTTACTAAAGCATAGTGCAGACAAGATCGTCTTTCAGAAGCGACTCTGCTACCAATGGGCAAAGGATTCGCCATAACTTCGGATCTGAACCTGGGCAAGATGCTTCTCGCTGGATATGCGCGATACTGCCACACCAATGATGCAGTAAGCCAGCTCAACCATTCCAAGTCACAATTACCAAGGATACGGGTAGCGGCCATCACAAACGACACAGTAGCAACATTCGCATCCCTTGCCTATGCAGCCAAAGCAGCACCCAACAGCCGCGTTGCCATGGGCCTCATCGTCGGTACTGGTACCAACGCAACCGTACCAATGAAGCCAGAGAGTCTTCATCCTGATAAGAGAAGTGCACTCTCAAACCCTGATGCCGTCGAAACCGTCGTCATCAACACAGAGTGGACGATTCGTGGCACGGACAAGCCCTTGGTCGACTTGAACATCAAGACGTCCTGGGACATGACACTCGACGCCAACAGCGATGCACCGGGCTTCCAACCATTCGAGTACATGACCTCTGGGCGGTATCTTGGCGAGATTGTACGATTAGTGTTTGTCGATGTTGTGTCAAAAGAAGAAAGTGTGCACGTACCATCATCACTGATGCTTAAGAACGCCCTACCAACCCGCTTCCTGTCGGAAGTCGTCGCGCGAAAGGGGGGTCGCATCGTACAGGAAGAGCTCGAGAGCAGGTACCCAGATCCTGAAGATTCGGACGATTTCTTCTGGACTGTCGACAAGGTGGAGTTGATACGGGACATTGCCGAAGCTGTCCAGCAGCGCTCTTCAGCTCTCATCGCGGCTGCTTGCGTTGGACTGTTGAACTGTGTGGGTGACGTCGCACTAGACAAGCAACAGGCCTCAAGTAACGGTGCTCATGCAAAGGGGAAACGCGAGATAGAAGAGCTGGTAATAGCATACGCCGGAGGAACGATATCACAATACCCCAAGTGGCTACAGACATGTCAGCAATGGATAGATATCCTGGTCGAGGAGGGTTCTTCGTCGAACAAAAACAAGCAAATCACGCTCAAGGAGGCCAAAGACGGAGGTATTGTCGGCGCCGGAGTACTCGCAGGCATGACAGATGAGATAGTATAAGATTAGGCGAAGAGTTCCCTCAAGGCACTATCAAAGACCACGAGTCGTACAGCCAGTGACAGTGCCACATCGACATTAAACACATTTCAAGTAGCCAGAAACAAAGCACATGATACCCTAAATCCCATCTCCTCCTATCTACCTTACTGGTAGCTGTGCCTGCCACTCAGGATCAACCTTACTCTGCTTGAAGAAACTCTTGCCCCTCAACCACTGCCTATACGCCTTATACCTCTTCTTCGCCGTATCCTCTTCCTCTACATCCAGCGGGTTCTCCTTGACGCGCAAGAATTCTTCAAACTCCTCAATGTCCTCTTCTGGGGTCTGAAACTTGCTTCCGGTAGACTGTGGCTGTGGGGGCGGCTGCTGGACATCAGAGTAGACGTGTGGGTGTAGATTGTACGTTTGCGGGTACGAGTAGGAGGGCGCGTGGGAGAAGGGCGTGCTTACTGACTGTGAGGTCATGGGGCGGGCGAAGGAGTGGTGAGACGAGAGATCCGTGTCTAGGCGAGGTAGATCAGAGAGCGTGATCTGAACGCCATCTTCGTCAAAGTCTTTTGGTGCTGGGATGCTGCCTTCGGTCATGGAAAGGTAATCGTAGAATTCCATGGCGCTGGGGTCGTCAGCGCTGGGCATTTCGCTGCTGACTACGAGGGGCAGATTGAGTGGATGCTCAATATAGCGGGCATATTCTTCTTCTTCGCCGTGGGATACAGATGGATTCATGCTGTTTTCGTAGAATTGCGTTAATGTCCACTGATGGACTAGGGCTTTATCAGCTGGTTTAAAGCCGGGCTTGACTGTAGATGAGAGGCCAGTCGAAGTTGACGTTGAATTAGTCAGAGACTGATATGCTGATGGTGGTGGAGCTGGTGGATGTGTCTCAAAGTGCGAATCTCGGAGAATCGAATGTCGGACAGATGAATCAACGCTAAGATGCAAATCTCTACCGCGAATACCTGGGATACGATTTGGTTTTGCCTCTGTCTCGCTGGACGGATCAAGTATAGTGACGCCTTTTCGAGGGCCTTTCTTTCCGTCTCTTCCTTGTGCGTCGTGGTCTTGTTGCTTGGTGCGAGGGACGAACGGGGACATGTTTTCCTTGCGAGTTGGAAATGTTCCATCGCGGCTATCGCGACCTGGTCGTGGCTTAGCTAGACGGAAGGCAAAGATTTTGAGATACGAAGAGATAGCTAGTGGTCTGTAGTATTCGAGCCAGTAGTCATCACGGAAGCTGATGAAGTCAAACGCAGTTTCCTCGGTTGGCTGGGCTGGCATGACTGAGGGTGGTAATCTGCGCTGTTGAAGATGCGAGAGTGTGTACCATTGAACATAATCGCGTCGTGTGCGCTCAAGGAATGCTTTCGGATCTTGATGATGGAGGTAATAGTCTGTCGACAAGTCCCATAACATTGGTTGGCCTTGACGGTAGGTATAGTTACCCAAGAACAAGTTGTAGGCCTCTTGACGCTGGGAGTCGAGGAATGAGTTGTGGTAGTAGCGCTTGAAGCTCTCAACCATATCGCGTGAACTACTCTGC